TGACATGCACTGCTGTGAACAGGTCTAAAGCTGTCTGTCACATAACTCCAAGAATTCAAATGGAATTTGTCCTCAGTGCTCTAAGGTTTCTGGGATGCTCTGACAGAATCACATCTTATTTAGAGTTTCTGGTCTGGACAAAAACTCATTTCTCTCAAAGTCAAGGTCATTAATAAAGGTCTGTGCTGTCCAATATAGCAGCCACTAACCACATGTGGCTATTGAACACTTGAAATATGACTAGTCTCAGGTATGCTGTATGTGTAAAACATACACTGGATTTCAAATATTAATTGTAAAAAAGAATGTACACTATCACATTAATATTTTTACATGTTCAATTTAAAAATTAATTTTCATATTAATTATGTTAAAATGATAATATTTTGAATATACTGGGGTTAAATAAAATATATTATTAATATTAATTTCACCTTTTTATGTTTTAAAATATGGCTACCTGAAAAATTTAAATTATAGATTCTGGCTGTCATTGTATTTCTGTTGGGCAGGGCTGCTCTGGGCTGTATCTCAGTTTTGAGATGAGCCACAAGGAGGCAGTAGAGTGTGGTGATTAAGGGCAAGGGTACTTGGACAGAAAGTTTGAGGTTCAATTCCCACAAACTCTATTTCCTCACTAAGGGACCTTGGCACCTAACTTACCTTCTCCAAATTTTAGTTTCTCATTTATAAAGAGGAAAAGTGATAGTGTCCTCCACTCAGGGATGATCAAATCTAAACTCATATCTAAGGAGATCACCTGGGTTCTTAGAAGGAGCATGAAGTTCTAGGTTACAAAAAAAGAACACAATTTTTAAAAGTTAGCTGCCTAACGAGAAATAGATAGGGTATAAAACTTAAATAGTAAAACGGATCAAATAAAAACATATTTAAAATATTCTTATCCTCTTTATGCCTTTGACCCATTGCCAGTTAGAGCAGAAAGGAAAGCAGATCCAACGTGGAGTAAACGTGGATTAGTTCTGCTGTTTTCTGGGTCACCTCTCTCTGCTACTAAAGGACATAATGGAAACAAACCTTACTGTTTCCTGATTAAAAAAACAGGAAGTTCCTTCCTCCCAAAAGGAAATCACATGCCATTTAATAGCTAAATATTAAGTAATTTTTGGATTGGAGAGTTATTTGGGCAGCATGGGTAATGGGAAGTGAATAGGACAGGGCAGGCAATCAATCCTGGGTCAGCAGAGCTTGGGCCAAGGTCACATGAAATCTCTAAACCTTGGTTTCTTCATCTGTAAAATGGGGACGAGGATGAGAATGCCTCTCACAGTAGTGTTCAAGATTAAATTAAATTATGGTTATAAAATCCACTTGTCTGTAAACTGGAAAATATTACATAAATATTAGCTACTATCATGATTTTATTCTACTGGATTCTAAGACTCATCTACACAGATGCAGCCACTTTGCTCTCTGTTTAATGTGAAAGAGCAGAAGGCAAACAAGGGTGACTTTGTACCTGGCACTTAACCTTGGTTCCTATTCTTGGTTCCTATTCTTCCCTATCTAAAAGAGTCATTGGGAGGCCTTTATTATTATTATTATTATTTGCTGTACGAGGGCCTCTCACTGTTGTGGCCTCTCCCATTGCGGAGCACAGGCTCAGGACGCGCAGGCTCAGCGGCCATGACTTACGGGCCCAGCCGCTCCGCAGCATGTGGGATCTTCCCGGACCGGGGCACGAACCCGTGTCCCCTGCATTGGCAGGCAGACTCTCAACCACTGCGCCACCAGGGAAGCCCCGGCCTTTATTATTTTTTTAAAAAAAGCACTCTTATACAGTCTTACACAAATGTGAAACGTTTTTGGTTTGGATAATCACTGAGTTGATTTTACTGAAAAAGAGAAAAATCTTATGTTGAGTATCTAGGAGCCCCACCTACTGTGAAAAGTAGCCATTGTTATGTTCCAAAAAATATTTTCTTGTATTCTTAACTCACATACACTAATTCAAGGTAATAGTCAGAGGCAATAATATGTGAATTGAAAAAGGAAGGCTGCAGTATGCATCTCTCGTTCAGGTCTGGGCAAGATGAAATTTAAAAGAATCTCTGCCACCATTTCCAAGCAGGGCCACATTCAGCACAGTGTGATAATCACAACTGTAGGATATCACTCCTAACAAGAACTCTCATTTTGTATCCAGGCCATCAAAGCTGGTTTCTTTGTTTAAAAAAAAAAAAAACTCATCTGTACTATTTTTGAAATCAGTACTATATAATGCTGGTATCCTAAAAGACATGAACAGGCTTTATCCACCCATTAAGTTATTTGGGCTCTAAGCTGGACACATACAGATGCAACAATGACTTTTAAAAATGAGTCCTCAGAACTTCACATAAATAAATAAGACCTCATAAAAATAGTAGAGTAAAATAAAAGCACCCTATTGACCTGTAAACAGTTATCTACAATAACGAGAACACATTTTCCCCACAGCTTTTGATTTGCTATTATTTTTAAAGAGAACGTACTAGTGCTAAAAGGCTTTTCTGTCACAGTGTGTACTTCTTCATTTACTAGTTTTTCATCACTCTCAATTTGTTTAAAATTTTAACATGCTATCTAATTTTTTTTTTTTTTTTGGCCACATGGCATGCAGGTTCTTAGATCTCCAAGACCAGGGATCGAACCCGTGCCCCCTGCAGTGGAAGTGCAGAATCCTAACCATTGGACCACCAGGGAATTCCCTAAACTGTCTAATTTAAAAAATTTATTAAGTTCATTTATTTTTTGCTGATTTATACTTTTATTTTTTTCATTTTAACTGTACTTTCCTTGCATTTCCTTATTTTGGTAGAGTATTCCCTTGATTTTGTGTTCCAGTATATGGATAAAGCCATTCTTAAACAAAACTTCAGACTTGGGATGGCACCTATCACCTTATGTGATGTTAGACTGTTCTGTGATTACTTTACCCAATGCTTCTGTTCAAATGGGATTAAATAAGAACATGCATTAACACATGCGCACACTAAGAAAAAGGACTAATATCTCTATGCATATGTAAAATTCAAGGAGTAAAAAATAACGTGAAGAAGATGCATCCACTGGGGTACTGTGGCAATTAAGCCCATCCTGTTAGGGAGAGGATAAAAGAACAAAGCAAACCATTAGCCCTAAAGGTACCAAATGTGCTCTGTGAAGTTCAGAGACAAGGAAACCAATTCAGTAAGTGTGTGGATTGTCAGCAACCTAACAAGCACAGATAAATGCATCACTACTTTCTGATTCTAACCATGTTCACCCTTTTATTCCCATTTCTGCTGTCTTCAATCTTTTTTTTTTAACATCTTTATTGGGGTATAATTGCTTTACAATGGTGTGTTAGTTTCTGCTTTATAACAAAGTGAATCAGCTATACATATACACATATCCCCATATCTCTTCCCTCTTGCGTCTCCCTCCCTCCCTCCCTATCCCACCCCTCCAGGTGATCACAAAGCACAGAGCTGATCTCCCTGTGCTATGTGGTTGCTCCCCACTAGCTATCTGTTTTACAGTTGGTAGTGTATATATGTCCATGCCACTCTCTCACTTCGTCCCAGCTTACCCTTCCCCCTCCCTGTGTCCTCAAGTTCATTCTCTATATCTGCGTCTTTATTCCTGTCCTGCTCCTAGGTTCTTCAGAGCTTTTTTTCTTTTTTTTTTTTAAGATTCCATATATATGTGTTAGCATACAGTATTTGTTTTTCTTGTTCTTACTTCACCCTGTATGACAGACTCTAGGTCCATCCACCTCACTACAAAAACCTCAATTTCGTTTCTTTTTATGGCTGAGTAATATTCCATTGTATATATGTGCCACACCTTCTTTATCCATTCCTCTGTCGATGGACACTTAGGTTGCTTCCATGTCCTGGCTATTGTAAATAGAGCTGCAGTGAACATTTTGGTACATGACTCTTTGAATTATGGTTTTCTCAGGGTATAAGCCCAGCAGTAGGATCACTGGGTTGTATGGTAGTTCTATATTTAGTTTTTAAAGGAACTTCCATACTGTTCTCCATAGTGGCTGTATCAATTTACATTCCCACCAACAGCACAAGAGGGTTCCCTTTTCTCCACACCCTCTCCAGCATTTATTGTTTGTAGATTTTTAGATGATGGCCATTCTGACTGGTGTGAGGTGATACCTCATTGTAGTTTTGATTTGCATTTCTCTAATGTCAATCTGTTTTTTAAAGCGTAGAAGTTAAATTCCATATCCACCACCATTTCCACTATCATTATCGCCACTACTACCACTAACATTGCCATCACCAACTTGCCTAGACATTATATTAATAAAAATACAAGATGCAAAAGTTCCCCTTTGTCTTCAGGGAGACTAACTGCACTATCAGTCTTTTCCAGGGCAGTGAGTGCAAAGCAAACACCAGTGATGATGCCTGGGAGGTCTTCCGAGAGCAAGAGTCACCGTTGCTGATTCCAAGAAAGCCTCAGTTTGTTTCTTACCTATAGCACAAACTGCACATGAGCTGTGGTTACGCTCACCTTTAGAGCATGCTGCTTTTCCTAGACCAGCACTTTTCCCAAGTATATTCATGAAATTCTTGGGAAATGCCTACCAAAATTGATTGACTTTGGGAAATGCTGTATTCCATACTCCCTTCTTGAATATTCACAGGGCATTTAGCATATTAAAGATTCTTGCAATAAAGGAACTATCTTTGCTTAATTCAGCATCTCCTAAGTTTATTTGTCCATGTAGCCATTCCCTCTTCCCAGCCCTCTACAGACAACCTATGAACATCTCCCAGAACTAATATTTCCAGAGAGACACTCTGGAAAATACTCTTTTTGATTGATAAAGGATAGAATTAATTCAGATGAATATTGCATCCTCCCAAAACTTGAAAACCCTAACTATTCTGCCCTAGGAAGAGGAGATAACACCACAACCAAATGAGTGTTGAAAAGGAAAGGATTTCTTGAAACTACAAGGTCTTCTGATCAAAGGTACACGTTCTACTTACCTAAGGAGATTCCCAAGATTGAAAAGAGCCCGGTTGTGCTGTGGATTTAGCTGGAGAGCCCTCTGATAGTACATCTTTGCCTCTGCTGTGTCTCTGGTCAGTGTTCCAAGGTTGTTCAGGGCACTTGCATGGCGTGGATACAACCTGAACAATTAGAAATATTAAGCCATGATTGTTCAAAATTGGTCACAATTTGCTTGTTTTTCTCCTCCCCTCCTCACCCCAGGTATGCCACAACAAAAATGAAACACTGAATTCTTCCTTTATTTTAATGGTATGTCTATGTCACATCTTAACAGTCAACCGTTTGTGCACCTGCAGGCAAATAAACATGGCAGGAAAGCAAGTAACTGACACATGGTGGCATAAGTAAGTTACCCCCAAAGAGTGCAAAAATAAATAGTATGCAAATCTACCGGGGTTAAATAAATTTAGCTTGGAGCCTACAGTTACTTTCAACTTCCTTTGACTGAAAATCCTCATTGCCACCGGTGCTGACTTTCTGGCCTAGCGGGACTGCTGACTAGCTGCCTGTATAATGCCCACTATTTACACAAGATGTTGGGCGTTCCCTGGATGAGGGATCTTCATGAATATATTTGAATTGGAGGACCAGTAAAACCGCCATTATTGAGAAGGTGATACAAACGTCTCCCCATAAAAATAAACGTTCTCCCTCAAACGGCTCTCCGCCTTGACTCTCCTATTCCATTTTGTCTCATTTCCCCGCTACTGTTATTTGACACCACCTGCTCTGATAGTGGCTGGGAATGAAAATCCTGACAAACATATAAAAATTTCAAAAGGCACAATGACGTGAAAACAGCGACCATAATGTTCAAAAGCAAATGTAAAGGAGGACTGCGTACACATCAGCAAGGCAAATTTATGGTGATTAAGAAAGGAAGAGAATCAGTTTACTTCCTTAACTAGAAACTATGAGGAAGGCAAACCAGCCTGCTGCTGCTCACACAGCTGAGTTGATTCTGCTGCGCTCAGAGCCGACGTATTTAGTCCTCGAACAGGCTCACTCCATCCCTGTCACCCAGAGGATTTTGAATAAGCCTGTGGAGCTGGCTTTTAATGTAGGAAAGGCAAGGTAATGCCCAAGTAATAAAAACAGGATCTGTACTTGTCAAGTCTCTTGACAATCAAATGCCATGCTTGCCCCCTCCCAGCCTGTTCCGTACCTTCTAAGAAGATCAATTTAATTTGAGGACAGAAGGGGTTCCTATTAAAAGGTCAAGGAAGACAAGCTGCATAGCTTTTTTTTTTTTTTTTTATCTTTGCCTAACCCAGAGTTTCCTAAGTATATTGGACCATGTAATCCTCCCTTCCTTACCGCCTTATAGCTCAGCTATTAGCATCCCTCAGTATTTTCAGGAAGACAATCTGTGTAATGCTCCTCCTGAATGATAAGGGACAGAATCAATTCAGATGAATGTTATGTCCTCCCAAGGCTTGAAAGCCCTAATTATTCACAATAATTCTGTAGGCTGTTGGGAGAGATACATTATGAGAGGAAGGTGGGAAAAAACACACACACACAACGTGTTTGCTTCTTTCTAGTCACCTTTAATTAGCAAAGACAACCTGAGGGTACCTGGTACCAGTCCCTTAACACCCACCCTCACAGTTCCTGGGGTACACAAGTCCTTGGTGCTCTCTCCTAGATGCATCTACAGGACATCAGAGCTAAGAGAAGATGCTCTCATACCTGCCCACTCATTCCATGCCCAGAACAGCCTCCTGGGAAGCTGTGTCTAAGAATTACTTTGGGAATGGTTACAGAGAGCATATCACAGCCAGGACTTTAATTCTTCCAATTAAAAAAAATTTTTGGATGTTGAGCAAAGCTCTCTGACTTCCAAAAGATTTAAGAGGGGGGTCCTGTGAACATGGTGAGAACAGTTCTTATTTTTTCTCTGATGACAAACAGCAAGAGAAAGCATCCTGGTGACCTCTGCCTTCCCAGAAGAGGCAATTTCTTAAAACTTGGTCTTTTCCTTACTTCTTTATAGGCTTTGGAGCCCTCAAAATAAATGTCTGAGGCAAAAGCACTAAATATGGGAAAGGACAGCCTAAATTCAGTAAGAGCATCTACGATGGACTCCCTGTCACGCAGTTGCCCTCTCCCGCTGCTAATCAGCCCACCTTTTTGGACTTTATCACCATCCCACTGCCATTTAAAGGAATGGCATTGGGTCTTCCCTGGTGGCACAGTGGTTAAGAATTCGCCTGCCAATGGAGGGGGCACGGGTTCAACCCCTGGTCCGGGAAGATCCCACATGCTGTGGAGCAACTAAGCCCGTGCGCCACAACTACTGAAGCCTGCGCTCCACAACTACTGAAGCCTGTGTGCCTAGAGCCCGTGCTCCACAGCAAGAGAAGCCACCGCAACGAGAAGCCCGTGCACCGCAACGAAGAGTAGCCCCCGCTCACCGCAACTAGAGAAAGCCCGCGCGCAGCAACGAAGACCCAACGCTGCCCAAAATAAAGAAATAAATAAATTTAAAGGAATGCGTGTATTGATATAATACTTTCCAAGTTCACTGACTACAAAAATTTTTCTCTCCCTTTTTTTTTCAAACCAGAAACAGAACATAAGTTCACAATGAACTCTCAAAAACAGAAACAAGCAGTGAGAAGGGAAGTAAAGAGAAACAAATATAAATACTATGAGAGAAAAAAAGGTCTTTAGCATGCCTTGTGCTCCAAGCTTAGGACAGGGCTTTGTGGTCAGGCACAGGCAGCGAAGAGGCTTTGTGTTAACAGAGTCCCAACCTGTCCAGGAAGGGGATTGCTGACATCTATAGTGATTTACTGAATCTATTGCCACTCACAGCCCTCCACCTGGAAAACGTGTCATATTGTTTACTCCTGGTAATAGTAAAGATCTGCTAGCAACAGCCCCTCCCTCTGCGCATCTGATTAAGTTCACCTAATCATGAGCAAGGATTACATTATTTATGAAACAAAGCTGAATTTCATAAAAAGGGTTCTTTAAGCAGGTCAAGAAAAAATTATCATCACTTTTATTTTTGATTTTTATATAGATGTAGACATTTTCTTAAAACATATACTCTTCTCTTGTTTACTGAAGACCCATGCAAGGATGAAACTTATTTTTGTGTGTTTACTTTTTAAGTAAACTTGTTTAAATGAGCTTGGGTCTAATTCAACCCTGAGGTCTCCAAGAGGGGAATTCTCTGTTAGAAAGATGAATAATTTAAGAGATGTCTATGTTGCTACATCAATTGTCAGGATAAATTAAGTGTGTCTTGACTTTGACACCTACAGGTATGTTTTACAAAAGTTCTGGTAGTGATTATTCCCTTCCCCATGTAAAGAACCTTGACAAAAGCTTCACTGAAAAGGAGAAGAGTGGTAATTTTCAGGTCTGTTTTTTTTGTTTGTTTTTGAGGTACGCGGGCCTCTCACTGTGTGGCCTCTCCCGTTGCGGAGCACAGGCTCCGGACGCGCAGGCTCAGCGGCCGTGGCTCACGGGCCCAGCTGCTCCGCGGCATGTGGGATCTTCCCAGACCGGGGCACGAACCCATGTCCCCTGCATCGGCAGGCGGACTCTCAACCACTGCGCCACCAGCGAAGCCCCAGGCCTGTTCTTTTAAGACCAGTGTGAACAGCCACTGGATTTTCTTTCTCAGTCTTACTCAACATTTATATTGTATATGGGGGCTCTCTCGCTATTTCCTTATTATTATGTTTTAAAATTTCACTGAGTTAAATTTTTAAAATTTATTATAGGGAAAATGTATAATATTGTCAAATAGTTCTGGGGTATAAGAACGTTTATTCTTTCTCTTTACAAAAGAAATCTAGGTATAGAGATATAATTCTATGAGCTGAAGAGAATATTTTTCAAGTATTGTATGATTTATATTCTCAATTTATATTCTCTATGATTTATATTCCCATTTGAGCATTGAAGGGCTTCTTACTTTTTATCTGGTGGCCTTTCCTTAAGCAGAATTCATAAAGTAGGTAGTTAAGGACATTATTATTCTCCTCCATTCCCAGACAACTTATCTCTGAAGAATGAATACCAGCAACATATTAACAGGAAATCATCACTGTGAGGGAACAGTTGCCTAAGTGAAAACCAGAAGGCAGGAGCAAAAGAAAATGGGTCTAAAAAAAGCTAGCATGTATTAGTGATACTTTACATTTTAGAGTGCTTTCCCATATACTATCTCATTTAACCTTCTAATTCTTCAAGTAGAATTATTGTACTATTTTACAGTTGAAGAATGGGAGGATGGGAGAAATTAAAGAAAAAATAAATTACTTTTTTAAAAAAAGAAATATTTGCAGAAGTTGTGTTCTTAAGTGTTAAAAGTCAGATGGTTCCTGTAAATCTATTTATTTTCCCAAACAATCCATGAGTCATTCAACCTTCAGCAAATAAATATACTGCTATCAATTAGAGCTTCCATTCAGAATAATTTCCCTTTCTATCCTTGGGCCAGTCCATTCAGCTATGATCCTATACGAACTACTTCTCAGTGACAGAAGTGAAATAAAATCAATACTCAGGAAACGTGGCTGAGATTCTTCTTCGCTGGGAAAACTTGTCTCCTGCCATACAAAATACTCATGGTATCTCTAAAAAGCACAGTATCATGGGAAGCTATTTGGAACTAACAACATCCAGTAAGTGTTTAAGGCACAGATACATGCTCTCCGATCTACTGTTCTTAAGCTTCAATCTCAACTAAAGATCCATCGAGATAAGATGTATATGACTAAAGTTTAGTTTTATATTTTATTCAGTCATTTACTTTAAATTTTGTACAATCTGTTCAAAAGTTGAGAATTCTATTACTTTTTCATTATTTGAGTACCTTCTAAGGCATTTCATTGTTCAAGCAAGACTGTATGTATCATGTGCTCCACTTTGCAATTTCCTTTCAGAATACACACACCCTGATTTATTTATCTGATTTTCGTTCCACACATTAATTTATCTGAGGTTAAGTATGCTAAGGTCAGATGTTTATTTTCTATTTTTTCTATTTCCTGTTGAGAAAAAAAAGAATCCAAAAGAAAAACATGACTGGGAAAAAATTTCAACCATGAGATCCAAATTTCACAGAACTAAAAAATACCCAAAGTCAACTTCATTT